GGGTTGGGTGTGTGAAGTAGAGATTTCTGTTTACCTGCTATTCAACTTGATCAACAGAGTTTTAGTTGCTGTGAAAGACCTCAAAATGGTATTTTTCGAGGTTTGCGGTCCTAACGAGGCCATGGTAGTGTCAGGTAAGCATAAATTCGCCCTGTTATCTTATTTGGAATGAATTTGTAGCTTTTGAGGCTGAAAATTTTGGCAGCAGTTGCAGTGGAAAAACCCAGTAAAATGAGTCATCACGGAAAATACATGTACAGTGTTGCTATTGCTATTCACCAGTTGCGATATTACATGTACGTGGTCTTGCGTCTGTTATTATTTTTATTAAGCCTATTAATCATTTCTGGTAATGACACCAAGGATTCCTAAGCACTGTAGCTCACAAGCCCGAAGAAACCTGTAGAGAGGAAACAATGACTGTGAGAAGCAGTTACACTTACAGTTTTATTCAACCCTGGCTTGCCTGGTCTGAGTAGGCAACAGTCAGTAGTCCTAGACTCCTACAGCCTACAGGGGGCCATGGGCCCTGGTAACTGAAGCCCGGAACATGCGGAAAGAGTTCCTTATGGACAATACTATTTTTCCTTTAAAATGTCATCAGAAAGTGATAACATGCCCTGAAGTAAGAGTGAAATTTAGCTAAGAAAATTCCAAAGCATTCACTTAGCAACACAGGTTTTTTGTCAGGCAAGTCCCATACCTAGGTTTGTATATCCCCAGAAGTGTGAGGTCCGACGTCTGTCCCACTCCCACAAACCCCATAAAAAATTAGCCTTTTTCGCCATAGGCTGTACGTGACGTTTAACAGGGCACAGTTTATCTGTTGCACTGTGAACACTTTCTGTTGAGGCAGCACATGGATGTGGACAAGATCGCTGCCTTTCGGCACCCACGTGCGGCCTCACCAGAAGGTGTGCATGGTGTGACAGCATGCTCACATGCACTGGCACCCAACAGCTGTTGCTTGTTGTTCCTGCCATTCGGACATAAATAACGAGGAGTCCTGTGATTGGTCAATGTGACCCCCAGCGTGCCGCAGCCAACTGCCATTTCAACCAGCGCAGCTAAGAATTATGACTCATGTCTTGTCTTGTGTCTTGTGTATCGATAGCAGCCATAGTCAACCATTTGGTTAAGGCTCATTTTCGCAAGTTTACATGTGAACTGCATGAGTCTCGGACGCTGATTAGGAAGTATTTGCACCTTTCTTTTGTAAACTGGCATGGTTTGGGCCCGTTTGTGGGCCAAAACTGCGACGTGACTTGTGGATGACTTTTGGCCGGTGCAGTGAAAACAACCTGAGGTGAATACACTTGTGCCATGCAAAGCAACGTAAAATGCATTTGTTTTCACCTCGCACTGACCCGAGGTCACACAAAGTCGTGTCCGCGAATGGAACTCTGTCCTCAATTTGGTTAAAATTTTATCTGGAGACATCCACTGAAAAATGGAACTCGTATGTTCACTACTTAGGCCTAGTTACAGTGACTTATGCTGCTAACTAACCCCAGCTTGCCATTTGCGGGAAATTCACCTTTGGAGTGTATTTGTACTTTTTTACAGTTGTAGACATGTGCCTTTGCTCTCCAAAGCAACTGTTTTAGAATGGTTTGTGGCGATGATTTCTTTTCACGAGTGTACTTCCAGTGAGGGCGTGCACATGAAACATACATTTAACAAATTGGAAGACTATCCATGTTTCATTTTTATTTTCAAATTTATTTTTAGTGCGTAAGTTTTGGCCCCAAATCCTCATACTGAACAGTTCGTAGAGCAGGCTGTCACACATTTGAAAGGGTCTGAGTTCGGAACGGCTAGATGTGTGCATCTGTGACTGAAAACTGGGAATCTAAACGGCTGTACCAAACATTTTGTGGGGATCCCATTGTGTTCGTTATAGTGGCATTCCACTGTACTAAAGACCCTAACAGAGAGAATTCCTATGTGAGGATGTTTTTATTATTTGTTTTCTTTTATTTAAATCCTTCTGGTAATGAAACCAAGGATTCCTCAAAAGTGCCCTAGGCACTGTAGCTCAAAAGCCTGAAGAAACCTGTGGACCGGGTCGGGAATCAAACCCGGGACCACAGAGGTAGAAGGCGAGGAAAGAACCATTATGCCAACCTGACCCCCAACCTGATTTAAAAGTCATTCCACTTCAATCTGCCAAAGGTTGCTGCCACTCGAAACCACTTCTTGTCTCTGGAGGACGGACTTTTGTCTGGCCATGGATTCAGCAAGTCCAGAAGCTGTCCTTGAACACCATGACACTGAAGATTGACACGGACAATGTGTACACCCGCCTTGGTGTACCTATATCTGTCACAGGAATTGCCCAGGTGAGTGATGAGCCCTCCTCCCTTCTTCTCCCCTCCACCTTCAATCTTTGTTTCAGCTTTCTCATTGCTAATCTGGTCCTTCAGAAGAGATTGCTCTGTGGGACTACCCATCCCCCCACATACCTAATATCCTCATCAAGGATTTGATACCTTGATGGGTTCAGCATTGCATAACCCATAACTGTGCTTGTGGTCTGTCCTGTCAAAGGCGTAAGGACCAAGAATATGACACCAGCTCACTGCAGAGTTTTTGGACAACCTCTCAAACCGTGTTTTGTGTGATCAGCCGTAGCTTTTGCTAGCACATTAGCACCAGATACGGGAATTCATATTCAACCCTGGCGTTGTCTCCTGTAGGTCAAAGTTCAAGGGCAGAACAAGGACATGCTCCTGCAGGCCTGCCAACAATTCCTTGGCAAAACTGAGCGGGAGGTGGAACAGGTTGCCATGGAGACACTGGAGGGCCACCAGAGAGCCATCATGGGAACGATGACGGTTGAGGTGTGTCCCGTTTGTTCAAAATTTTTACCATAATGAAAAGCACTGTTACCGAAGTAAACAGTGATTTGGGGTTTTTTGTGCAAAAATCTATATCATGTTCTGTCCTTGTACAGGAGATCTACAAGGACCGTAAGAAGTTTGCCAAGAATGTGTTTGAGGTGGCCTCCTCCGACTTGGTCAACATGGGCATCAGCGTAGTCAGCTACACCCTCAAGGATGTGAGAGATGAAAATGTAAGTCCTAAACCAAAACTTGCAACCTCCTCATTAAATTGTAAACCTCACAGATTCTTCAAGGGGTGTGAGGATTTCGCTGAATGGAGAAAAAGCAGACCCCAGTCATGTCAGACTATAATCAGAGCTTGATGCATCTTGAAAGTTGAATTCTCAGGTCTGGGAACCTGACTACAGCAGTCGGATGTAAGCACATCCCCCATCATATTATCAGTGATTTCCCAGCTTCGCTATGGGCACCGATGACTTTGTAGCACACAAAATTTGGTGCAACAGGACAAATGACCAGGAAGACAATTTAACGTAATCATTTTTATGTTGTCTGCCTGGTCTCTAGTTCCCAGGAGAAAACACAGCCTGATACTGGGCCCACATCCTCACATATGCAGCAACGTATGAGACGGAGAGAACCCCCCCCTGCTTTGTGTTGGTCATTGTCTGGCAGGAATCTGGGGAATTCCTTTCAGACATCTTGGGGGGATGTGTTAAGTAACAATAGTCTGGAATGTGTATAGGGATTGGACATGTTGGGGGGGTACCCCTCGGTCTCATTTCTTGCTGGGTATACATCCTCAACTGGCCTGTACTCATTGTGTAAGTCTTGTCCTCCTTCCAGGGATATCTGAGAGCCTTGGGCATGGCTCGTACTGCCGAGGTCCATCGAGACGCCAGGATAGGCGAAGCAGAGGCTAAGAGAGACTCCGGCATCAAGGTCAGTCAATTTTATAGTGGGCTAAAAGTAAAGCCCAACCAATTAGGTGGTGACCTGAGACTCAATTCAAACATTGCATGAGGTGGGATTTAAATCAGATCCCATCAGAGGCAGCAAGAGGCACTGTGCTGGCCTGATGACTAAGTGATAGCAGTTTTTTGGGTTGGTGCACACCTTCCAACACTTTGACATTCCTTCAACTCTTTCTACGTGTCTGTTTGCCCACAATTTGCAGTGAGTGAGTGCAGCTGTTTAAATAACCTGTATTGATATTTCATTGATATCCATCCCCCTACCCTACAGGAAGCCCGTGCTGAGGAGGAGAGAATGGCTGCGCGATATGCTAACGACATTGAAATCGCCAAGGCCAAGAGAGACTTTGAGCTGAAGAAGGCTGCCTATGATATGGAGGTGCAGACCAAGAAGGCCGACTCGGAGCTTGCTTACGACCTGCAGGTGGGCAGTGCTGGCTGATGCGGCAGACTATTGTGTGGTAGATTAGCGGATGGATAAATAAATACTGCGATGGCTTTGTCTGATTTGATCAAACTCTGATGAGTTTGGGTGGAAACTTAATGGAGACTTTTTGAGAGGTTGCTGAACGGAATGACATTCCTACGTTTTATGCTTATTCTGTTGAAAATTGCTCCCTGTGAGTGTCATATGCTGTTCTTCCACAAGGCCTCAGTGCTCATCTGACATTAATACCATTAACCCACGTGCTTGAGCCATCCACGAAACCTTGAAGTCCTCACTCTTTCAAATACCATCGGCCATGGTGTTTTATTTCACTGCTTTCTCCCCTTCCCACAGGCTGCCAAGACCAAGCAGCGGATCAGGGAAGAGGAGATGCAGATCCGTGTGGTGGAGCGAACCCAGCAGATCCAGGTACAGGAGCAGGAGATTGCTCGCCGAGAGAAGGAGCTCAAAGCTCAGATCAAGCAGCCGGCCGAAGCTGAGAGATACCGCCTGGAGACGCTCGCCGATGCTAACATGTAAGCCGGGCTGACGAGAAAAATTAACATGATCCTAATGGAACTTAATCATGAGTCGTCCATATATGAAATTGCAAGCAAAGTTAAATTTGCGGTTTTGAGCTTGCGAGCATTAATGAAAGGGTAAAATTGAATGTCCTGACAAATTATTACCTGTCTTGCTCTGATGAATGAATTGAAATTTGTGATAAAATAAATCTTAGTGTTACGGGCAAGATTGAAAAAGTTCTGTAACATGGACCATAAAAATGAGGTTAAAAAAAAGACTTTAAAATTTCGCACTAGATGCTTGGTGTTTGAAGGGAAACATCTCCATCAATATGGTACTCAGGCGTTGCTTCATTACTTCCATTCCCCTCAGGCCAGAAAAGCTTTTCAGGGCTATTTGATGGAAAAGTTTCTTATATTTAAATTGTTAATCAACTCGCGTATGTGATCGTTTGATTCTTTGTGGAGAGATGGGTTTTCTGCACAGCCGGAAGCATGTTTATGAATTGTTCCTTTGAGCCCATATGTTAGTTCTATTGTTTCAAAACTGCAGTGATTATGCTTATTTCTGGTTTGCAGGAAGCGTGTTGTGATGGAGGCAGAAGCAACCGCTGAAGCTATCCAGGTAAGGCCAGTTAATGATCCCTTGCTTCTCCATATTTGCTGCGGAATTTTGAATGCTGCCATCTGAATGCAAGTTTCAAAAGAGGCGGCCTGTGTACTTAACACATAAATGTGAATTGAATTGAATTGTCGACATGTTATTTTACCCGCCGAATACTGTTTTCCAAACTCTTGGCACATCATTGGTTTCATGCATTGGCAACATCATTTGTTTTGCAGTTGAAGGGTGAAGCTGAAGCTTTTGCCATCGAGGAGAAGGCCCGAGCAGAGGCAGAGCAGATGGCCAAGAAGGCGGACGCCTGGAAAGACTACCAGGATGCTGCCATGGTGGACATGGTGTTGGAAACATTGCCTAAGGTTGGTATAATAATGATATTAATAACACAGTTTTACATAGCGCATCACACCAAAGTCTTGATGCGCTTCACAAAAAACAACAATTAAAAGCAATTAATTGAACAGGTAAGTTTTAAGGACTGCTTTAAATTCATTTTCGTTATTGACAGTTCTGATATGGTATCTAGGCCAAAGGTTTAAGTCTTGGAATACATCCAAGGTCATTGTTGGTAGCTGACTGGATACCATAACCCAGTCACAAACAAGTTCACAGGTTACTGTGTCAGCTCTTTTTAACTCATCAACCCTAGGTTGCTGCTGAGATTGCTGCCCCGTTGGCCCAGGTCAACAAGGTCACCATGGTGGCCAGCGGCAATGGTGACGTGGGAGCCACCAAGCTGACCGGAGAGGTGATGGACATCATGAACCGAGTGCCCCAGCTGGTGGAGAAGATGACTGGTGTCAATATCTCTGAGGTAGGCATCCTTTAGACTTCAAGCCCAGCGGAAGAGCAAGTGCACGTGACCGCACCCATGTATCACCAAAGCTAATGATATTGAATGGTACTTGAAACAGAACGCAGCAAAGGGGCCAGTTAGGTTAGCAGTATTTTGCCCACTGGTTATAAATTTCTGCAGGTGTTTTGCACATGGAAACCAATATGAGGTAAGTAATAGACAGGGCAGGAACTTCATTTTTAAAGGGCGAGGCGATTTCTCCTTTGCAAAGGCTCATGTGTAATAGTGGGCATCGAGGCAAAGACCAGGGGCATCAAGGCAGTTGCCGCGGTGAAATTCCTGCCCAGAGTAGAGCATGTCATGTTCTTACAAAGTTGTAATTCCCGGTTGAAGTAAAAAATAGACTGACATGAAAATAGTCATCTAGGATAGGTCACCCACCTCTGAAGCTAAACATTTCTTCACTTCCCCCCCCCCACTAGGGAAAAGAAATTGCCGTTTTGATGGGGTTCTACCCTTTCCAAGTTTTGTGAACATTGGTTTCAGAATTTTTTTCCTTGAAAATAAATTTTTAGGATTTTGTTCTTGATTCTTGTGGATTTTGGTTCTGATTCTCCGTGCTGGGAAAAATTTCAAGGTCTGTTCGTGGCATTTGTTTTGGCATTGGAGAGTTTGCAAAATATGACGTTCAGACAATTACATTCTGCCGTTTTCTGACCATCTTTTGGAATTCGTCCAACCAAAAGCAGAAGAAGTCAGACAAAATTATCTGAAAAAGGTATATTCCCAAAGCTGTTGTTGCCATGGTGTTACTGTGCCCGTGACATTTAAACTATGAGAGTGTGTTCTAACGTGACCCTCTCCTACCTGTCAAAAGCTGATAACAGCGGAATAAAAATTGATCATGCTAGTCTTGGCTCGCCTGGCCGTATGTGTGGCCTGATTTCATTGCTTTGTATGATCCTGTCATGTCTTTTTCTCGTCTTGCAGGCAATTTCAGCCACCAAAGTCTAAGCCATCATTCACTGACCACGGCACCAACGGATCAAGGATTGACCTCCCCACTGGATGTGTGGGCCAACCCATCCTCAGTGCACATCCCTTGATTGACAGTGGAGAAGTCCTTTCCTTGCAAGTCACAAGATACATGTATTATACAGATGTTATTATCGTAGTTCTTATATCATAGTCAGTGTAACCTGTTGTGTTGTAAATGCTTCATTTTTCTCGGAGCTTGTTCTTGAATAAATTGAGGATACCTTGAAGAACAGAATAACAGAAATGTAAACAGAAAACTGTGCAATCCCACCTGTAATCTGTAACTGATACAGTTCAAGTCAGTGCTTGGTGTTTGAAGAACAGCTTTAGCAGGGTTCCCACGGCCTGGAAAAATCATGGAAATTTGTTTTTCGTTTTCCAGGCCAGTAAATGTCATGGAATTTTGTAAAAATGACCAAAGTCATGCAAAAGTCATGGAATTTTTTTAACACCGGGTGCAATTTCTATTCTCAGAAATAAGTGCATAAAATTTGTGATTGTATTCCCAATTTGAAAGGCCAAATAGTCCAAGAAATGGCATTATTGCGTCATGGATTTTCATAATTTGGTCGTGGATTTTCATGATTTGGTCATGGAATGGAAAAGTCATGGAATTTAATTGTCCTGTAGGTGCAGGAACCTTGCTTTAGGGAGGAAATCTTATATTGTTTAAAATTCATGATTTGGGTAAAGGTCAGTAAGTCCTATGAAACCTCTAAATTTCTAAACATCTTTGCAAGGGTAATGTAGCTACCCAAGCTAGGACCAAATGGTCAGTGTCGTTAGCTGTTTAGGAATACAGGAGCCCCAGTCATTCAACATTTTTCAACAGGAGGTGCTGGAGGATTGAACAAAATTCTTAAGGTAAGGCCAAGGTGTCATGGATGGATGTTAGGGCCCAATCACTGTTAAAACGCTGGGATACTTTTAACCGTGATTGCTGGGCTGTGGTATGCCCAGTATGCAAAGCCTTGTCCAGCAGCAGGCCCACATTGAAACCGCAGGTGCATGATGAATAGAATGTATGTGTGGAATGCACTAATCCGCATACAGAGCTGTGGCTGTAGCTGTAGCCGTCTCCCGGAGTGAAGGGGTTACTTTACAGGGGGCCTATGAATGCCCCCATGGATTTAGAGTACAACTAAAGTGCCCTTGGTTTTTCTCTACAGTAGAGGATTTGAGGAGGAATTTGGGAAGGTTCGTGTCAAGGGTACAATACAACACAGCCGTAAATGGTTGCTGGTTGCATTGTCACAGACAGGTCTCTGTGCCAAATGGTCGGCTGGTTTGTGGTTGGCAGGGCAGGTGTGATATGCTGTTCGTGCACATGATGTGATGATGCCACTCATTTTGTGGTGTGCTCCTCTTGCATGTGCGTCTACATGTCACGTCAAGTTGTTTTCAGGGTCTGTGTGGAAAAAGTGGAGAAGAGTTACCGCCTGGTCTGGAATGAAACTTTGTTCGAGATTTGGGAATGGGCTTGGATTATTCTGTATGGTTGCCGCTTTTGCTAGAAATGGTTGGGAAATATTCATTAGTTTGGAAACGAATTCTCTCTAGAGTGACATCTTGATATTCAACTGCAGTGTCGCATTTCTTGGTTGACTTTTGCACTGATCCATTGGCTGCGATTTGCGCCAAAGATCAGACACTTAAACTGATGGCAGCACTGCCACTTGACCCATTTCGCATTTGGTCATTGATCCATCTTGGTGCCTAAACGTGCTTAGAATCTCAGCTACTTAAGACAGATCATTGTCATTCTGTCATCATAGCACTAATGCAGAAAAGTTCATGCCAATCCTGTAAGCACGGAATATGTCCCAGAATGCTCACTGGCGCATTGGGCCAAATAGCTTGCTGCATGCAAGCTGTGTAAATTAGGAGGAATAGGCTCTGCTTTAGTAACCGATTTTTAGATGCAATCTTCAGTCAAATCTCTGTTGTAGATTTTTTTCATCTCTAGCTGTGTAGATGGTTAACTCTCCTTTGCTAAAAACAGTGTAGCCACACATTCTGCATGAACTTGAGGTACATACTAAGTTGCAAGAGAATTTGCCTGAAATCATCGGTGTCGGTGCAGTTTCAAATTAAAAAAATGACAGTGTCAGATGTGTCATTTAATCAAATTCTTCCATGGTTAAAGTAACATGGTGAATTGGTGACTGCATGTGTGTACAGTAATCGTATGGTATCTAAAGTGCTATTGTTAGGTGTCACATGAGCGCGAGTGAACACAGACGCACTACGTTATTCTGTGTTCTACAAGCGCGAGTGTGATAACGAATTTATCTTCAAGCAAACTGGACATGCAGTAAAGATGTTATAGGGGCCTAGGCACTCAAACTCGCCACCTTTGAATTTACTGTACATTTTGCAGTTTTGCGTTTTGCTTTTAGCGTAAAATTAACGCAGTGCTTTGAGTTTCAACCGGGCATCACACAGGGTTTGATGTGAACTGTGTAATAAAGTTCTGTATCACACTGTTTGTTGCCATGGAGTAACCAATCAGAATTGAGAATTCAAGTTTGCCTGAAGATAATATTCGGAAACTAGCATTATCTGTTCATATTTTCAACTGAATGAAACTGGAAGCAATGTAAGTTCCATTGAATCAATTGCATCGTCATATCATTGTGATATCTCTCGTAATCATTTACAAATTTACTTTGCTCTGAAAGCTGTGCCAAGTATGATCCAAGCTTCAGCATGTTTTAAGTAGGTTTTAACCTTAGCTTGTACATAGATGATCGTGTTTATTCAATGTTGTGAAAGAATGCTGCTTGTACATTTTGAAAGCTTGATAAATATTGATCCACTCGCATCAACAAAGATGGAGTAAAGTGATTTGAGTAATTTTCCATGACCTAAATCATGTAACATCTCTTAAGTGGGGAGTTCCTTTGTATTTGTGTCGCTTTTTTCATTCTATTCTGTATTTTGCCATGTAAATGTACAACCCATCATCTTAGAACCATTTTGTGTACTCATAATGGAATTTATTAAGTGGGTTTTTTTTTCTTCCTGCAAGGGGGGGGGACTTGGGAGCCAGTATTCACTAAGGTAAATCAAAAAGGTCCAGAACAGTGTAAATCTTGGTCTTTTGATTGAGCAGGATTTTTTTAAAGAATTTAAGGACACTTTAACCAGTATTTTTTGGGTTAGGTTGTAGATTATTGTAGCCATTTTGTAAATTCTATTATTATTCAGATTCTTATGTGCCCTCTACTGTTTTGAATCCTTATTTCAACTCATTGTCCCTGAGTATTTGAAACGTGTCAATTTTAATTCTAGAGTTTTTCATTATCACAACACTCCAATCTTATCATTTATACATTGCAGATCTCATTAAGACGTGAACACAGAACTCCAAATTGTTGGAGAGGCCATGATTTAGTGGTTTGTAGTCTTAATGTGGACTTCCATCATCTTCATTACAGCTGCATTGTATATTGTGGTAGAATATTGTGGTAGAGAAAATGTAAGAATTTTATTGAATGCGCTGTAATTGTATAAAAATGGTTGGAAATGATTTCTAGATTCTGGTAATAAACTTACACATAAAAAAAATTGGGAGTCAAATATTTCTTGAGGTTTTGAGTTCTTCTCATAAGTTTTATGAAAAAGACCTTAATGATTCTTAGTCATATCTTGAATTCTATTTCATAATCCCAGTTGGTGTGTACGGCATTCCATTGGAGTACTCGGGGAGGTCGAATATTACTTTTGCTTGGAGATATCCATAATGGCGTGGCAACCCAATAACGTTGGGAGGTTGGGAATAATCGACTGGTATGACCTTCACAACCGTCAAGAGCCAAATGCACTGAGTTTGGGCAGTACATGTATGTACAACTCTCAAGTTCTGAATGGGCTAATCACGAAGCTATAAAAAAGGACAGCTCTGTGGGCTAATTGAATACCGCCCTCAATAGTTCAGCTGCTTCATCATAATAAAGATGGCAGCGCCCGTGAAATGTTGTTCTCTCTGTTTTGCCGGTGTGAGGAAAGGTCTAATTCAGACACTGTTTTTGAAGCAGTTCAATAGACAATTAAGTGAAACTAGTACTGGAGTAAGTAGTTTCTTAAATTTCGTGTTCTCCAATATTGTTCCAGGCATGTTTATGCGTTTCACCTGCTTTTTTCTTACCCCCGGCCCCAGAACTGTTGCATGTGGGGTCCGACGTCCACCCCGTTCGTGGGAGCGGGGGCGGACGTCGGACCCCACAGTTCTGGGGGTACTTTTTTCTGTTCAGAGGCTGAGCCAAGTTAACCGTGTTACTTACTATCAAGTATCATAATTAATATTAGCGTCAGGCTAGGCTATGGCCATGATGAGACTCAATCAGATCATATCATGTCACAACAAGGGTGAGCGGGTTAGCGTAGTGGTTCTTTCCTCGCTTTGCTTTAATGAGGCCCAGGTTCGAGTCCTGGCTTGGCCCAGGCCTTAAGTGCATTTGGTTTCCAGTTCATACTCGCTCTCGCAGGTTTTCTCCGGGTACTCCGGTTTCCTCCTGCTTCTAAAACTGGACCTTCTTCCTTACTCCGTAATGTGATGCTGATTAATTTAATAAAGTGTATGAATAAACGTACAGTTATTGGCGTAAATAGCCCGAGTAGCTGAAAGCGCCATTAAAACAAAACAACAACAACATGTCACAACAAAGCTGTCTCATGCTTAATTGCTTCAGCCTTGTTTTTTATGACCGAAGCAGCAGGCTGCAAGAACTCCAGGGACAAATACAAGCAGAGGACTCCCTAAGAAATGGCCAATTCCTGGAGTCAAACAGGTCATCCTTGTTGCTTCTGGAAAGGGAGGGGTTGGCAAATCTACCACAGCAGGTATAGTATCCCCCCCCCCTGCATCTGCAGGGGGAATATGAGATTTATTATGTTTACAGCTGTGTAATGATTGATGCAAGAAAATCAGTTTAGTCTTGTTTTCTCCTGTGAAATACATTGCAACTGTTAGTTTTGTTTTCTCTTTAGTAAATCTCGCCTTGGGTATTGGAGCTGTGGAAAGGGTAAGGAAATGTTTGTTCACATTTCTTGTTTTTCTTATTTGATTTTCGCATCCTATTTATTCAAATATTTATTACAGTATTTTTGTTGACTGAAGTCATGGCTCACCCTGTCATTAATTTTTTATATGATAACTTACATGATTGCTTTAATAAACATATACATGTATTATAGAATTGTTTCTGTGCAGTTCTGTAGTTTATGAACTGATTTGTTCAACTCTGTGATAATTCCATTGTTGATTGTCATGACTCTTATGGACACTGAAAGCGAATCTTTCACCAACTTTGATTTCCATGCCAACAAGCTTTATTCTGTGGGATAATGCGAGGGTTAATATTCCCAAAAAATCTCTGGTCTCTGCCCCCAAAAACAAACACCCCCCACCCACCCCCAAAAAACCAGACCCCTTGTAACCTTCAGTTCAAGAATACCCTCAAACCTTGGTGTCAAAATGAATGTTCTTCACAGTCCCCTAATGTTTTTAGCACAGGACCCAACCTACTTGTCGAGCCAGTAACTCTGCTTTTTTTTCTTTCTTTTTTGCGTGACTTGATAATAGTCAGCTATGGTTGGTCTTCTTGATGCGGATGTTTATGGACCGTCCATCCCACGGATGATGAACCTCAGCGGTCAGCAGCCAGAACTTACCAAAAGTATGTCTGAGAAGCACCTCAAGTTTGCTCCTGTGTCCGCTAAATCTGTTTGTACATGGGTGTGTTGTAAAGGCAGTCCTCAACACAAGGCCTACAGATGTGCACACTTTGGTTGGCAACCCATTTTGGATAAGTTTTTGAAGAAAATGGTCCAGGCAGCATTGCAGCTGAGACCACAAGCCCCTGCAGGTCTGTCACAAGTCATTCCGTCAGAAGACATTGTTCAACCTGTAACTCACGACTGGTCTTGTGAGAGGACTTGTGGAGGGACCTGTGATGGACTAGTCCCAGGAACATGTGGCAATCATTTTTGTATTTGAGTCCATCACAAGTCCATCATTAGTCATTCAGTCTTAAGCCAATTCACAAACTATTCAAATGAACTGTGACAAAAGCATTCCTGTGTCATTGTTCACCCTGTTACTTATGACTGGCCTCTCGATGGGACTTGTGACTGGCCTTGTGAAGGGATTTCAGAAAGGACTTGTGACGAACTTAACTGGTGACAATCAGTGCCTTCTTTTTTGAAACCTCAACTGATACCGGAATTCTTGTTGTGCTACCTCAATCAAATTGGGTATTTCCAAAAGGGAAAGCATCACTTGAATGCATGAAAGTGTGAAATGCGCTCGAATCCATTCAGAGAAATTGGTATCATACCTGTTAATGCACATTCCACTGTTTCCATCTCTTCGCAGACAATTTGATGAAGCCTCTTCAAAACTTTGGCATTTCATGGTAATGTGGGATTTCAAACATTGTAAAAATTTTGTGTGGTTTGCAGAGTGCTGTTACGAAATTCTGTTACTTAATGTGGTCATTTTGCTGTTTGAATCATTATTGGCAGCATGCAGATATGAGACCCGTTTAAGCCTGTATGATTTATTAAACAGTATGTCTATCGGTTTCCTCACCGATGAAAAGGCGCCTGTAGTCTGGAGAGGACTGATGGTCATGTCTGCCATTCAGAGACTTATACGACAGGTGGGTAACTAGACCCTGTTCCATTCAAAGAAACAAAATTTCAAAGAAGTTAAGGCTTGTTTCTGAGGTGGAGTAGGAGATGGACACCAAATGTGATGATGAGTGAAGCTTTATTGTCAAGAAGTGTTGGGTTTATCAAAGAGAAGTGAACTGAATCTTGGATTTCGGGAAATACCTTTCCATGGCTCTGCCAACAGAGCTAGCCTAATAATGACCATCTTCCAATTTGTGAATGTTTTGGGGAAGGGAAATTAAATGCGTTCATGTGCATCACTTAGCACTGCTAGTTCTGAAAAGTTAGGAAGAGGATGTGGCAAAAATTTTAATTCAATTTTTTAAAACTTGTAATGTGGACAACCTCCGAGTGTATTGAATGCTGATCCGAGTATCAAAGTGATTGCTCCTCCAACAACAGGTTGCCTGGGGTCCCCTTGACTATCTGGTAGTGGACATGCCCCCTGGTACAGGAGATGCGCAGTTGTCCATGTCTCAGCTCATTCCAATATCAGGTAGGGGTTCAAAACTGACCAAATGAATATTAGATCACATTTTGACACAATTACAGTGTATGCTTTTCTTAAATTTCGTCAAGTCCATATATGAGGAGAGACCCATTTAGGTTGAATTTTCTGAGCTTTTACTTGACATTAATTTAAGAAAGTTTTCAAAAATATTGTCAAGATACTCGCTCAGTTATCCTTTTATACAAACGTACATTCTGAATAGCTGCCCTTTCCATTAATATCAAATGACCTGCGATTTGTTCATGTTATGTAGCAGGAGAAGTGGATTGAATTTTTTAACTTGTTCTCTGTGACTGCGCAATAGGGTACTTTCCCAGGAATATTTTTGTCTTCCCAAACTTTTCCCATGTCAGATTTTTCCAGACCCAGTGATCAGATCCACCTGTTGGCTTTTCCATTATTAGGTGCAGTGATCGTGTCCACTCCACAAGACATAGCATTACTGGATGCCAGGAAGGGGACAGAAATGTTCAGAAAAGTAGATGTGCCTGTAAGTTACAAGAGTCATTTCCTATAGAGGGCTAGCACGTCTGCCATCTTGCAGGCCAGTGCTTTTGTTTCACAGTATGCACAAAGGAGGACTCCCCTGTGGAACAAAAGAGCTGCCAGGAAAGATGGCTACCACGCAAAGCCACTATACTGTGGAAGATTGACCAGAAAACCACACAGTATTAGTATTTACATTGTTCCCCGCTGTTACAAAGTATCTTTCTCCACGTTTCCGTCTTTGTGGTTGCACATTTTATGTTCCATTTGTTCCTCTCCTTATACAGGTGTTGGGTCTTGTCCAGAACATGAGTGTCTTTCACTGCCCGAACTGTGGGCACCAGAGTCACATATTTGGCCAGGATGGAGCACAGGTGGTCGCCGAGGAGCTGGGACTTGAAATATTAGGTGAGTCGTGCGCTTGCAAACTCGGGTTGGAGCAACACAGCACAGAAGTCGCTTGGTGCACCGTCGCGGTGTCTGATATGAACCAGGGCACCCAACACCATCCAAGCACAGAAGCTTGTCAGGCCATTTTTTTTCTGACAGTGTCCAAGAAAACATCGAGCACAGTGTTCATGTGGAAGGGAAGGTGCCAATTGTTAACACAGTTGCATTAGCCTCCATTGGGTATGGCAGCATGGACGCTGATCCCGTTCGGTATTCAAGAAGCGCATGCCCAAAGTGAAACGTATCCGAGGTCATTCAGGAGGTCACAGGCACAAGAGGTCTGCTCTGTCAGTGCGGCCATTCCATACCTGCTTCGTTTTCGAATGACCATGCGATTGTGAAATACTATACTGGCTGATTGTACACTTTGTCCTTGGTTGGGGGCAACAATTTCAAAGTGGGAGAGTTCTGAATTGCAGTGAAACATTCATTTGTCAGTAAATTGTGTCGCATCTCTCCCCGTGCTGATTAGTTGCTTAACAATACTCCACAGTAGTAGGGATGGGATTTTTTCCCTCAAAATTTAGGATGTAAAAATTCGGTCATTCAGGTTTCCCTGCCTTTGTGAAAGATTCACACTATCGTAACAACTTCAACACCTCATGCCTCATTAGCCCTAGAGTCCTGAAAGTTTCTTTGTCCTTCACTGTCATCTCGGCAGGCGATATTCCATTGCACATCGGTATCAGGGAAACATCAGATGAGGGACGTCCCATCGTGGTGTCTTGCCCTGAGAGTCCCCAGGCCTTAGCCTACAGGCAGCTGGCAGAGAGAGTCCTGGACAGATTACCCAACTACGAAGACCCTTTGCCACCCAGGTGACGCCCCAACTGTAGTATGTGCTTTTAAACCATTCATGTCATTAGCAGATATTTTCGTGATCAACTGCTTTGACCTAGGCAAAATTTGCCCATCATGCCACACAACTTGTGTCAAGTTGAATACAGCTGTTGCCAATGGCCATTTGGCTCATCGTACGTCTCAATCAATACAAGCGACTCACAATAGTGCGCCTCCAAGAGTTTGAAACGCCTTGGCCAATCACAACACGCAAAATTTGTCGACCCTTTCCAAACGCTCATTGGGTTGACAGATTTCGTCCATTGTGATTGGCCCAGGCATTGCAAACTCTTGGAGGCACACTACTGTGACTGGCCCGTATTCTCACCTTATGAAGTAGAGCTGTAAGCTCTTTGGTGAAATTCAGAATCCAAGATAGCAATTCCTGGCTCTTTAGTATCAAGGCAATGGGAAAGTGTTGTTCAATTACATTATTGATATAAATGGTTATGACACTTCCCTCCTTTGTACTTTGCAAACTTTACACTTCAACATCTCTTTGTTTTGAGGAAGCCAGTAACATGGGCTGTGTCCGTAATAAAACCATTTCCCCTGAAAAATTAAGAGCAAATGGAACAGAATAAAGGCACCGCTGAAACCATGTCATCTGTTTACATACAGTGTGATTTTATTTGACACCTCTTGGCTTCGATCACTCCAATTGGAATTACAACAAGCTGTAATGAATGAACTACATTTTTTTTTTCCAAATGTCTCCTACGAGATCCACAGGTATTATTAGTTGTTCCTGCACTGAAGCGTTGTGATTGAATTTGGTCTGTCGGGTTTGTACCTCGGGGTACCCTGCTCCCAAGCCCACTCTAGTGACGCTTGTTGCGTGGGGCGCGTTTCTTCCTGAGCGGCATCACCGGCTTCTGACTGCGGAGGATGGCGCTGGCACGTCGCAGGGCAGCCTACACACACACACAAACACAAAATATATTTTCAAGTCTTCTTCAGACAATTTTAAGAAGCCAACGCTGGATCAGACAAGCATATTTCATCCTTTGCAATTTTCGGTCTGATATCACCTTAACTTGAGGTGCGTTCAAGAGTGAAAATTAAGGCTATGCAGTTTATTGGAGTCCAACATACGTACATGTGCCAATTACAAGCACTCATTGGCTAGCACATTAACCATACACAGCTACAGGCTGCAACAATTCCATTGCCACACGGACAGTAATCAGGAATTGTAAAGGTTACAACATCACACTGACACAACGGACTGCCCCGCTGAACATCTTTAAGTCAGGTTAGCTAATACTGGACACCTGCTTCTCCATGTTACCGATGAATTCAGAACTGAAGAGGCAAACTGTGATCTCAAGTACTAAGACTGCTAGCTTTCAAGAAACAACGCCACAGGTTGTAGCAACTTGATTTACGCGTACACATCATTCAACAGAAAGCAGATGTGACTGGAAACTGCATGAGAGCCGATCCTTCGAAATACGACATGTATATCATTTGCAGACCCTCATTTGGGGGGGGCATGCATTTATTTCAGACAGTCTATCCAGCTCCTTAAATGCTTCCACTGAATTTACAAAAGCTGACAAACTGCCAAATAACTAACAGGTCCTAAACAACAGGTCTTGATTTCAAGACGTATGGACTCATTTGATAGACGGCACTGCTGGAGCCGATTTCCTGAGAACGGTTCTTATCTGGTTTCTAAACAAGCCACTCACGTTCTTGATGTCCCGACGGTAATTGTTCTTCTTGAGGACGTGACGGATGGAGGTCAGGGTGCGCCGGGCGTCCTTCTTCAGTTCAATGCGATTGTACTGCTTGGCGGGCTTGTTGGTAACTGCACAAGGGAAATATTAAAACAAGCACATGACATTAAACTCTGCACTAAACCTCTCATTCATGCACAACAAGCCACCCCTGCTAGAAGTAAGTTACAAATTAGAGGTAAACGAGCTTTTCAGGCACAGCAGATTGACCAGAGACAAGCGCTAAGTGACTTTTGAGCTTGAAAAGTAAAACTGCTCTAAATTATCACCGTAATTTCAACAAACTGTCGACAAGTCTACCACTAGCACCTCTTCCTAATCGACTGGTAGCTCTAATACACTCTATTAAATATGACAAAGGAATCAAAAATAATTTCTCAAAGAAACATTTTCCATCAACATGTAACAAGTCACCTTGTCACATAGCTGTCATGACATGAATGCTGTCGTGTCACGACAACAGAGGGCAAGAGCTTTGTGTTACTGGGATAGGTTGAGTAAACCTTTCGTGCATTCGTTGTAACTAAATTTCATTAACAAAAACAGCCTCTGCGACACCATGGAGATGCGCCAGTAATGCACGACCTCAATTTGAAGGGGAGTCAGCCTGAACAAAGCTGCCGGGTACAAGGAAGACCTTTTAATGTACAGCAGCAATTACCAAGGCCCGAGTGAAAACATGGGACAGATTTCACCTCACCTCCCCGGAACTTTTTGGTGACCAACACGACACCTTTGCCATCCTTGCCAGCCTCAACTCCAACGGTCTGGGGAAAATAAGGATTTGGAAAATATTCAGAAAGATTCACCACATCACTTTTTTTCCAGTGCGGACATTTCTACCATAACAAAATTAGTTTCACAAGGGAACATGGTCCACAAGTTCTGTAGAGAGGTTTTTAATACAGAGGCTTTGCCTCATAGACACGTAGCAGGGCTTGTTCCAAAGGGAAACCTCCTTTGTGTATACCCTGTTGAACAAAAGGACTGGCCTGCAAGATGGCAGCCGTGCAAACCCTCTATAATCATAGCCTTGGTGATTTCTTGAAATGTTAGCACGGCCATTTGGGAAATTAAATGGAAGTTACCATTAATGATCCAACACCCCCGACACATTTTGCCAGGAACTTTTAATAGTTTTACGGGGCCATTTGCAAGAATCCAACGTCACTGTCTCAGGACTTAAGGAATTTCAAAGAAAATTCAATCCCGCGTCAAACTGTATCAGCTGGGTTCAGTTCTGCCAAGTCCTCATCTGACAAAACGGATTTTTAAGAACCTGGGAACATGGGTTACTTCCAACAACTTCAGAAGAAAAGTGTCAATACAAAACCTTCCTGTGGATCAGTCCATTGAACTTGAAGGTGTTTCTGTTCTTCAGGTTGTTGGGCTCCTGTGGTGACAGGAAATGACAAAAGGAAATGATCGGAGATCTTAGTGGTCATTGTTTAAGATAAAAAAAAACCACATTTTCAGGGGAGCCAAGTTTGCCACTAAGCGTAAAGTTGGGCTCCGCTTACACTGAACTGTTAACCGGAATTACCCCATGCCCCTCAAAGTCCTACAAGTTTTTGCTGATTCAGTACCGGATGTTACAAACTTCTTGTTCAACTTTGCTGGATTGAGGACCAAAGGTGAAGGGTGACAGATTTTGTTTGAGCAGGGACACACAGCGGTTGCTCCATGGAGTCTCTGGCTAATGGTACCATGTGTTAGACTGCTTCATTTTGTCAGGTTTCGTATTATGCAAGTCAGTCACCCTTGTATGAACTGCACTGGCCATCCATACCAAATGACTCAAATGTCCACAGCGCTGACTTTCTGGGGTGTAACAGTTTGTGTCCAGTTGTGTGCCAGTAATTACAATGACCTGCTTGAATGCGTTGAAATTTGTTAGGTTTAGTATTATTTCTAGTTTAACAGCTTGGGGGGGGGGTTAGTTACAATATTTGAATGTTTAGTATACCAACAAAGTATGTGGACAGCGTCACAAGTTGCAGTTTTCTGAGATCAAGTCATGGCACGTTTTGTTTTATTTGCTTGGTATTTTTTTTCCATTTTCTTTTTTTTTTGAGGGGAGGGGTAATAAAATGTCCAAAGTACATACATGTATTGTACGTTGAGTAGAAAGTGACAGAGAGTGATCACCTCTATGGAAAACTTTGTTTAACTATGGAAAAATCTGTCGGGGAAGCCGCACTTGATTGCCGATTGGTAACTGAAAGAAATACATTTTCTTACACAGCTGAAGGTCAAGCCATTTCCCTTCTTCAAGAAGCAGGAGTTGTCACGGATGATCATCCATTGGGCGGCGGCGGACGCGTTGTTCATGACTGCTGGATTAAATTCTGCAAAGAAAAACCCCTTTTTGAGTTTAGGCTTTCCTCTTTGACCGATTGCAGACTTCTGTACAATTGAAAATTGCCAATGTTCAATCTAATCTGGACTGTCATATCCCTTCGGGGAGGGGTTCAGTTTAAATTCCTCAATGAATAGACCCCTTTGCAGTTGGTGCTATATAAGACTTTTTACACGGCATGGAACCATTAACCCTCCTATGCTGAAGTCACTCTTTGGGTCACTTGGTAAACACACCAAAGAAGCACAGCTGTGTTGTGTTGTGCACTGTAACAACATGCAAGAGAGTGACCTTGGGCACTTGTACACATTTGTGCTGTAAAACCAAAGGAGGGTTAAAATAAGGTGAAATGCAATCCCTCTGGCCTAAGCCCAGTCCGAATACCTTGATCCCTATGAATCGCCTCTTTTTACATCTGGACGTGGTTGGGTGATATTAGCTCCGACCATGTCTAAAATTATGTTAAAGAGGCCAAAATTGTAAATTTTGTTAAAAAGATGATGGGGCGCACCACTCGGAGACTGTCCTGAAATTTAGAGAATTTCCTTAATTCAGGGACAAAATCAGTCCCCTGAAAGAGACAACATCCCCCAAACCAGGGGCTTCTTCTATTTCAAGTTCACTTGGGGATCCTACCATTGCCCTGGGATCTTTTTCATACAATAACTGGATTCAGCAACGAAAACAACCAAGGCTGCCATTTAACCACTTGATGCCGGATGATGTGTAAACATATATTTTTCCTTATTTGTTCCACAGAGGACGTGTGATCGTTTCAGAATTCTTTTTTCATTTTTGCGGTTGACGTATTAACACATCGCACTTGGTAGGGTCAAAGGGCAATTGCAAGGTTGAAGAATTTGCATGAAAAAAAAAAACCCGCCCCCAACAGCTTTTTCAAGTAAGAAAATCTGACGTTAACTGGTTAAAAAAAATTCTACCATTTACTTCTAGGATTACAAGCGAGGATCTGCAATGGGACACAAAGGATGGGCAAAAGACCACATCAAAACCTTTATCTGAATATCAATCCTTTACATACAGTAAACAGAGCAGCATAGTACAAACTTCACCCAAAACTTAAATAACCTATATGAACGGAAAATATGGTATATCAAATGACATGGTAAAAACTTGATTTTTAACCCTTACAGTCCTAAATCCTCCAATTTCAATATGAATTTACATACACCCTGGGGGGTTAGGGTTAAAAAAAATGTAAAATAACTTATATGAACGGAAAAAATGGAGCCCAAAAAATTGATTACAGCATGTGGGCTTTGGGATCCAAGCCAACTTGAAAATATTTCCCTTTTAAGGAGGCATTTTCTCTTTTAGGGGACTAGTTTCGTCTCCAAATAAAGGGACTTCTCTGAGTTGGAGAGTCGCTGTGTGATACTGCTGCTGTCTTACCGAGTCTGAAAGACTACTGGAGTACTAAACATGCAGAAAAAAGAGAAAACCCCTTCCATCCTTAACAACATGCTTAACGCTAACACTTAAACTTCCCCATAACTTCTTACCAACATCATAAATACTGAAAATATGCAAAATATCAATTAGGCCAACTGGTGTCTGTTCACTTTAATCATGTCAATCAGGGGAAAGCGTTCTATGCTAGTCCAGAAACTAGTCCGGCAAGCTCAGCACGCGTGCACTATGCACTGTGCGATGTGCGGCTACGCGTGAAAGACCCATACTATAGCTTACATTGAGGCTACAGCCAACGTACATGTACATCATGTACATGATACATATATACTCGCTAGCTTCTTTTAACATGTTTAGGAGAGCAAAAAGAATGTATTTATTCTCCCTGAGCACACTATTTCCCCCAATTATAATTCTACAATATATAACACTTGATATCCATGAACTCTTTTCTACTGAAATCAGCCCAAAGTGGAGTTATAATAGGTAATTTCCAGGCCAAATGCGCCACATGCTCCTAACCTGATTCACGTCCTGCAACGAAAAGGAATAGTCTGGTGTTCGGAGTGGAGGAGTTGCCGTGTAGAGGCTGTACATAGGGAGACGGCGGCCGCACCCGCTGCATCACGATTTCAATCACGAGAGGGCGTCCTCTGACAGAGGCACTGTCGACGTTTGTTGTGGAAGTGCAAGTGGTGCAGCGCTAGCGCTAGCCGTGTAGAAGAAACTAAATTTAAATCGTTGAAGTCGACGTATTGATAGGCCAAGGTAGTGAAACAGGCAGAATGCATCAATAGTTATTGAGGGTTATTGGCCTTAAAGGGGTGTAGCTGTAGTCAGTGGTGTAACTTAACTGGGGGGGGGGGGTACATGCCCCTCGCATGCAGATGCCTGGCCGTGCTCCCCTCCCCCCCCGGATGCTTTCCCCCATTTGAAATCTCGCTTGCGGTTATGTAGCAGTGCCTCTGTGGCAGAGCCACAAATGATTGTGTTGTTGTATACACTTTTTTACATAGAAGTAATTCCCCTTTAAAATGTTTAGCTTTTAGTTAGTTTAGAGTTCTTGATTTTTTTTAATAGTGTGCCCCCCCCGGTTTATTTGTTTGAAGCCCCAGCTCCCCCCATATAGTGTAGGCACATGGTCTGGTCATGCTCAGTGTAACAGATCAGCAGAGACCAGTCAACTTCACATGTATTGTTCCTCCTAACTGAAGTGTGGTTTTCTGCTTGAGCCCTTTTCTGCTAGAAGTTAGTGATTAAAGTCTGAGTGTAAATTCATAAGGTCCATATTACACTGTGTTGGTTTTGGTTTTTCAGTCCTCGTAAAGTTTTTCATCTTTTGGTTTTAGTCCTTTGAAAGTTTTCGTCTGTGGGGTTTTGTAGTCCTTTGGGATTTTTTTGCATTTTTTTCCAGTACTTTTTCATTAATAAATTATTTTTTGGTCCTTTTTTTAAGTCAAATATTGGTGTCTGATTAATTCAATTTCCTGCGACTTTTCCCTCAAAGATCTTTGGTTTAGTTAGAGTCTTTGTTGTTTTGCCAGTTCCCCATAGCCATTTTTCCCCATTACACCCCTTTGAAATAATGCGTGCACCCCAGGTGCCCCCTCATACATTTAGCCCCAGTTACGCCACTGGCTGATCATCCGTACAATATCAGAATGTTATATTGATATGGGGAATGGAAACTGACTGGCCAAACAAAGGCTTTGTATTGCAGTATTAGTCTACAGGCTCAAGTAAACCTTTGGGCATTATTGTAACTAAAAGTAATGAAGAAAAGCCTCTAAGGCACCAGCAAAAGCCAATATTGTCGATAGATGACATGGTTGTAATGTTAGGCTACCCCAACGTGGAGCACTTTGATTTGTTTGCCTGTAGGTCCTATTGCCTTTTTTTCAGAGCAATATTTTTACCTCGCAATAAGTGCAATTTCATCAAGCTTTCAATAATCCCATTCATAAATGTGGAGTTCGCATACCTGCTACAAATTTGGCATGCTTTCCTGATTTCTGTTTTCGAAGTGCAAAATGAAGTCCTCTGAAATACTCCTCAAATCAAAGTATCTTTCAAACTTGTCATTGGTGAAGTAATTATAGTCGCCAAGATTTAGGAGGTTGTATTTTGTTTCAAATATGAAGGTTAGAGTACCAGTGTTGAACTAAATGAAGTTGAAGTTTTTCAACAGAGAGGTTTGGCAACTCTGCGTGAGGAAAGTTGAGGGAAATGTTCAAGTGCTCCGCAGTTAAGGGCCTCTTTTATGCATATCTGACTTAAGTAACTCCAGTGTCGGGGGCATATAATGGCTGGAGGTAGTCAAGCTAGACTACATCCTGGCCTTCCCCTCTTCTCAAACAGCTCCTGCTAGATTTTACACATAAATCATAGTAATTTTTCTGTGTGTTTCCAGAACCTTGAAAGGCTTGTCGACTTTAAACAGCAGCACACTACATTACCATCGATTGTGAGTCGGACTTGTCACCATGCTGCCGGCTGATTACGACCACCTCCCCAATGCCAAGCAGATTCTGGGCGAGCACCTGTACGCCAAGGTGGAAGAGCTGCACCCGCAGCAGGCTGCCCGCCTCACCGGTGTCCTGCTGGAGGCCGGTAACCAGGAAGTGATGCGGATGCTAAGAGACAAGGATCTTCTAAAGAGGAGGGTTAAAGGAGCCAAGAGGGTCATCGATGAGGAGTGAGTAGGCGGGACTCCTGTCATTGTTTGACCGGGACATGAATCAACCTAACTTCACTGGTATTGTTATGGTTCCAGTTTAAAACACAGGGTTTGACTGGGAAAGATTTGGGAAAAATTATGGAAGAAAAAACAGAAATAAAAGCTGTTGAGAAAAACTGCTAAGAGGTTATTGAGACTGAAAGCACTTTTTTGTAAATGAAAAAAAAATCAAATAAGATAAAACAGATTTGTCTGTCACAAAAGCGACTATTGAGGGTGTGTCTTTTGTGCTTTCTGAAGATAATATAAGCAGGAAGATTCATAAAAGTTTTTTTGGGGGGTTGCTTTTTGACAGATCTTAAGATGCATGACAGTTCAGCCCAGAAATTAAACTTTTTGTAGTACATTACTGCCAGATGTGCGGAGAGACATGAAGCTGGCTTAGTTTTGTGAAAATTTGTTCTCTTGGCTGTCTAATCCTTACAGGGCTAGATCTTATCAATTTTATCAAAATCCTTTTTTGTACTATGTGACTGCTTTGGAGTTTTGCTAAGGGGATTCCCCATCCAGCCTTTGACATGGAAAGCTTGGGTGAGAGGCTCTACGACAAAGTGCAGGAGCTGGGCTCACAACACTGTGCCAAAGTCACAGGTAGGCAGGCTTGATTTCAGAAGAGTCTTCCCTGGAGACGAGAACTGATACTGAGTGTGATGGTGAGAAGGCCCCTGAGCTTCTTACAAATCACTAGCTATGTGTGGGGCAGTTCATAATCCTTTGTTTAACTCATTCTTACATTATGGGCGGCAGTACGTTTGTGTGCCACACTTGACCCAGTGACACCACCCATGAAGACCAAATATGCTCGTACTCCGGCTAAATTCTCATGCCGTCTCACTCCAAATTCAATTTGGAGACTGTGTAGACTGTGTCAAGTCTGGGATAAGGTGCATACACCTTTTTCTTTTGAGAGGAAGGGAAATGTTGAGAATTACAGGGTTCCTGCAGCCTGGAAAAGTCATGGAGATTTGTTTTTGTTTCCCAGGCCTTGAAAAGTCATGGAATTTGTAAAAATGACTTAAGTCTTGGAAAAGTCATGGAATTTTTCAAACACTCTGTGTGATTTGTATTATCAGAAAAAAGTGCATAAAATGCGTGATTTTATTCGCAACTTTAAAAGTCTGAATAGTCCAAGAAACTGCATTATTGGGTCATGGATTTTCATAATTTGGTCATTGAAAAGAGGGTGGAATTTAATTGTCCTATAGGCAGGAACCCTGGAATTACATAACCCTAAAAATGCCAACTGCTTGAATGCCATCTGCTTTGATGATTTGATAAATTGATGATTTTCAACCTGTTAGGGATGCTCCTGGAGTTGAACCCTGACATTATCAACAATCTGCTAACGTCACGCTCAGAACTACACAAAGCAGTGCAGAAAGCAACAGCAACACTGCTGAATGAGCAGCCCGAAGAACAAGGGTAAGCCGGAGAAAAAAACCCAAATGAGATTTTGAAATTAAAAAGGCAATTACCTAATTACAGAAAAGACTGAAACAAAAAAAAATGTTTGAAACCTTTTTGATTTCTGAATGGCTAAAAAGCTGGTTTGCATAAAAAGAAGGGGATCTATTTACAGTCTTTCCAACAGTTGTCAGAATTTCCCAGTTTAATTTAAAATTCTGAATTGCACAATGCATGGTGTCCTGAAAAAGGAAACCCACAACCATAGGCAAAATACGACCAAGCTATGAAAAAAAATCATTACAGTCATCATTAAATATGGGTACTCGGTTCTTTTGATACCTTGGATGTATGTCCTTGATCATGCGTGACCGACTTCCTTCCTGAAAATAGTTTGTAAAGGGAACCTTTTGAGACAACTTGCAGTGGTGTAATTGGTATTTTTTTAAATCTAAATTAGGTCAGTTTACTGTTGATGAACTTTTGTTCTTGAGCCTTGCCCTAGCACAATAGTACAAATTAATTTTCCTCCCAATGGAATCAATTTTTTATTCAGCTGTCAGATTGAGATGGATGAGGAGAAGCAAGAACTCGGGGAGGAGTTATACTGCATCATTGAAGAGGCACACCCAGAACTGGCTTCCAAACTTACAGGTGAGGAATGGTGACCCTGTCAGAAAGAACAAGCTGCATGCGTCGACTTTCAAAATCAACCTTAGGATTGTTGATAGACCTGGAGCCAAATTTAGAGGTCTCTTTCCAAGACTTGTCCATCGGTGTGATGCTTGTCAGCAAGAATGTGGCAGAATGACAACGTTGTAAAAGACGCCTTAAGACCATTACAAGGCCTCCGGTCTGAATCCAAGTCGCAGGCTCTTCAAATCGACTGCAACAGAAGCCTTCCTTTGTCACCCTTCACCCTGTTACTTGCAACTGGTCTTGTGTCTGATCTTGTCATGGTGGATGGTCTTGAATATGATGCTGAAAAATGGAAGAAACTTGGTACCCAACAATGTTTTATATTCTCTTGCATTGTTCTGTTGCAAGTATCATTGCATTGCTTTTTTTTTCACCCGCTGGGTCTCAAGGGGAGGACTTCAGTAACATCTGCCTGTTGTTTTGAAACCAATGTTGTAAAATTCAGACATACTGTTCTTGTGCAGTGCCCATTTTTCCAAGACTAGGTCAGCCAAAATATGCATTCTTTTCCCATTGGTATCCGAGTGTGAGACAGTGAAATTCGAATGACCATGACAACAAAACCCTATCTCAAATTGAATTGAAATTTCACATTACATTTGTACTGATAATGAGTGTTTTAGTATGCATGCCGAGTTTCTAAACGATTTGGGCATGTAACAGCGGGTGAAAAATAACCAACCATGGCAGATGTTTCTTGGCATTAGGTTGGGTTGTTAAAAAATAAGTCTTCTTACCTGAAGAACGGTTTGAACTTACAAAGGAGAACAAGTGTTGTTCATGAGAAGCAGAACAAGAGACCACAGCGTCAAAGGTTCCGACTTAATTTTCCTCCTGTAATGCAAAATGGCTCCCAATTGGTTTTGTGTTTCCAATTGCAGGTATGCTTCTGGAAATGGATGCCGCCCAACTCAGAGAGTTGCTGGATTACCCCTCTAAGCTGAACGAGAAGGTCCAGATTGCCTTGGAGGCTCTGAAGGCCGCTTGTCTCCCCACGTGACTCAGGAAGCCAGAGAGGGGTGAAAAGGACAGATGCATTTGGAAACTGTGTACATGAACAGTGGACTTTTTAACAGCGGCTACAACAGAGCTCGTGTTAGTTGTTTCAGGAACACTGGCATTATTTGTATACCGAGACAGAGACTCATCGAACATGATGAATGAAATCCTCCTTGAACTGAAGGCCAGGGTTGTCATTGGGTCAGTTGACAGTGATAGCTTTAACCCTGATCCTTCCAACACCAACTGTGATCAAACATTGTTACGTATTGTTGGACTGGAGGGTGCACTAGCTGTAGGCGAGTGTGTTAACTGCAGAGCGACAGGGTTGGGGTTTACACTGTGCAGTCAAAGATTACCCGTTATAATTTTTATGCAATCAAAAAGGTTAGCATTTCGAGGTGTGTCTGTATTTGTTGCATTAGGGCTGCACGGAGAGCAAAACTGATTGCTTAGGGTTCAGGTGCGCCTCTTTCATAAACACTATAGAAAAAAAGGGTGCCGGAAAAAAGAGGACACAGTACAAAATTTAAAATATTCCCCAAAATTTTTTAGATACATTCGATTATTTATTTTTGATACAACAGAATCAAGCATTTATGCTTTATGCAGCACAAATGATAATTTTTACTCATTTGAAATTTGCACATGCATTTCATTGTAAAGAACTTGGCAAGATTGGAGATAGTCAACAAAGTGGTTTTGGGGCTACAGGTGTTTATTTTTTTTCTGAATGCATTGCGGTCTATATTGACTGTACAGTCATTGGTACACTGTAAATTATGGGTTTATATCGCCATTAGTCTGCGTGTACATCATTGCAAGTTTGCTAACTGATTTCTTGAAAAGAAGTTTTAAGTATGGGTTAACAGAAAATAAGCTTTTGGCGGCTTTCAACACAAAAAATGAAGCGAAAAATAAACAACACAGTACTTTCTCATCTTGGTAGTCCGATTGCTGTCTCTGTGGTCTTAGAGCTTAATAACGACTATACAAAAAGAAACTCTTCATGTTGAAGGCTGTCACCACCAAGCTGGTAGAGCACAGACTGGGGCTTTACACTACCACCATCTGCCTCCACATCAGAGGCAGAAATCAAATTCCTAAGTCAACCTAATTAACGAACTGAAAATCTGCAAATACCAGGCTTCACCCGGAGAATTGCAAATTCAATTGTGGACTACGTCAACAGATCAATGGACAGCCTTGAATCTTTGGAAAGTCGGAGAGTGATATGACATTAACTTTTTTATAAACGAAGAGACTAGGACAGACTTGTAACTATTGAGATTGCTGATAGGTGGATGATGTACCCTGTTCTCTGATGATGTACTCTGATTGGCTCAGCTAAACTGGATGACTAGGTGTGAAAACTGTGCTGCCACTGTGCTGATTGGTTAATGAGTGATGATCAATTACTGGCTGTGTTGTGATTGGCTCTGTAGCGGTGGATGACAAGGTATAAATCCAGCAGCATTGGTGCTGATTGGTTAAATATGGACTTATTACTAGCTGTGCTCTTATTGGCTGCCTCTGCTGACTCACTGGCTGTGTTCTGATTGGCTCAGTCATGCTGGATGACTAGGTAGGACAACCCAGCCGCAAGAAGAGCACCAGCGGCTCCTAGAGCAGCCCCTGTAATGCCAAAAAAATCATAAAAATGTTACAATTGAAAGTTGAACACCAACATGTTTTTCCAAATCATTAGTTCCTGTAAGCCAAGTTGGGAAACTTTAATATTGAATTGGTGAGTCCAGCCAAAATCGAGGGAGTGGGATACAACACACTGAAGATATTTGGAATAATATTTTTCTATGCTTAACCACTACCAGCCGGGGACTCCGAAATCGTAGCCGTAGGGTTTATATGTGTGGCCGGGGTCTCCGAACTCGGACAAAGGAAACAGGGCCCTGTAACAAAAGACCGTATTCCGAACAAAAGACCAGGCTGCTGGGCATTACCAGCATTTTTCACTCTCAAAAGTGGTGATAATCCAGCGTTATTTTGAAACCGTATACCAAGGTTTGGGGTATTTAGAGCAAGCGGATTACCACCGGGGACAAAAGCTCTCCACCACAGCAGCGATGAGCCACACAGCACCGCTGCATGCTAATCTGGCCCCTATTGAAAAGAGGTCAGCAGTGAAC